AAGGTGATGGGTAAAAGCTAGCATACCTCCTTATTTTCATGTGCTCACGATAGGAGAAAAACTATAAATGGAATATGGGCCAATAGATTTAAAATCTATCTACAGAACAAGAAATTGAAGTGTTAAATGAACTGCTTTCCAAATGGAAGTACCTTTATGAAATACAGTTTTCAAATGCTGATTGGACATTTGTACCAAAAGTACTAAGACAGTATCAGATAAGAGAAAGGCCAGAAGAAAAAAAATGAAGATTCTGAGAATGGGACCAATGTGAATAAAGGATGACTTATCAGACCCCGGCACAGACCTGTCATTCAACATGTTCTCTTGCCAGTTCTTCATCTATGAATTTTTCTAATCATCTGAGGAGCATGCCATCAGAAACTTGCCTTAAATCAAATACATTTCTGATATCTTACGGAATCACAGAATCATAGGGGTTGGAAGAGACCTCTAGAGATCGAGTCCAACCTCCCTGCCAAAGCAGGTTCCCTACAGCAGGTCGCACAGGTAGGTGTCCAGACGGGTCTTGAACATCTCCAGAGAAGGAGACTCCACCACCTCCCTGGGCAGCCTGTTCCAGTGCTCCGTCACCTCACCTAAAGAAGTTCTTGTGCAGATTTGTGTGGAACTTCCTATGCTGCAGTTTCTGGCTGTTTCCCCTTGTCCTGTCTCCACACACTGCTGGAGAAGAATCTGGCCTCACCATTCTGCCCCCCACACCTTAGATATTTATAGACCTGGATCAGGTCCCCTCTCAGTCTCCTTTTCTCAAGGCTGAACAGACCCAGTTCACTCAGCCTTTCCTCGTAGGAGAGATGCTCCAGGCCCCTCACCATCTTTGTGGCCCTCCGCTGGACTCTTTCCAAGTGATCCCTGTCTTTTTTGTACTGGGGAGTCCAGAACTGGACACAGCACTCCAGATGAGGCCTTACCAGGGCAGAGTAGAGGGGGAGGATCACCTCCCTCGACCTGCTGGACACGCTCTTTTTAATGCACCCCAGTAAGCCATTGGCCATTTTGGCCACGAGGGCACACTGCTGGCTCATGGCCGACCTGTCATCCACCAGGACACCCAGGTCCTCTCCGCAGAGCTCCTCTCCAGCAGCTCATCCCCCAACCTGTACCAGTGCATGCAATTATTCCTCTCTAGACGCAGCTAGAATACAGCTTAGATGCAGCTAGATACTGCTTGCTGTAAGGAGAGCAGTGCCAGGTGGATTTCACCTACAGGCACTTCTATGCATCTCCCAATAAAATTTTGATTGTGATTCCATAAATGTCTTCACTGATGTTGGTATCAACGTGAACTAATAGGCATGGTAACAGCAACAGAGAAATGTCAACACTAAGTGTTCAGCAGTGATATAGGAAAGATAACGATAAAGATGAATAGCAACAATTACACCAATTATATTATACTGCAATACTGGTTGTGCAACCAGCTAACAAAAATGATTTAAATATTTTATTGAAGCAGCAGAAATATGCTAGAGAGCTTGAGTGATTAAATCTAGTTTTGATGGTAGCAAGCATCCTCAATATCTGTTACTAACAAGTTAGATCAGGACGCGAAGACATTTATGTTCAATTCCCATCATTTAAGGAAGCCTTTTCCAAACTAAATAAAATACATACACTCCTTCCTGGCATCCCAGCAGACTTTAGGTTGTTCCTATGATAACATCTAATATTTCTGATCTTCTAATACATGGAGCAACCTTCAGGTCTGTGAAAACCAAGACCACATGATGGCACCACTCCCATAGGAGTAAAGCACACTGCAGCACACAAGAAATATGCAGGCAGTACCTAAGTTCCAAGAATCACACACGACATCTCAGCAGGAGGCACAGTGCAGGTAAAAGATTGACTGTTGGTGCCAAAAATCTCCATCATCGTATTCTAAAATCCATTTCAAATGCAAGTGGCAGGTTAAAAATGAATAGCATCATAATCCCAGAAAAAGTATTTGAACTCTTAAGGCCTTATTTTATCAGGGTGTGTTACAGCACATTATTGCCAGCATCGATAAGAATGACCTGTCACTGACTTTACTATAAAAACATTTGCACAATCACTTTCATTACAAATATTCTTCCCTTCCTTGCAATCCCAGATATATTCATTCTTATGAAATTCCCACATTTTTCCTTGCCAAGATGACCAGAGCCTCTCTTCATTGGATTATTTTTCCATTTAAAATACTTCCAAAACAAAACAAAGATATAGCATAAAATTATCTGCTATATTACGTTTGTATATTCTTTACATATTTCAAGTCTGTTCAAATGCTTTAAAAGAGGTATTTTTCTCAGTGTCCTTATTTTAATAGAGTAAATTAATGTCAAAACATTGACAGACTATGGCTCTTTCACCAATTATTTTGCCTCCACTTCTGTTCTGGAGCAGTTTATTTAATAAATCAAAGATAATCACACCCCCACCTTCTTCCTCCTTCCCAGCAGCGTGGAGGCACATAGCCTACAGAATCTGCTTTTAAAGTAGCTTGCACACGCGCACTCCCCTCCAAGCAATCTATTACGCCTCTAAATCAGAATGAGACCACAAACAAACCTCCACTTCGCTTTTAACAAGTTTTTAGATGCCCCCTCTATCAATTGAAAAAGTCATGCAGTGAAGCAAAAAAAAATTATAGATTACAAAGCTCCTAAACAAACTGCAAAAGCAATATACTCCTTCAAAAGGGATTCCCCCCTTTTCTAGGAAGTCTTTCAACACGTACTTCCTCAAGGACTGCTTATAAGCAAATTATGAAAATTGCTGATGCGAACTACATTGATTTCAACAGAGCTATCAGTATTTTCTTCCATGTTAAAATTATAAAGAACAGCTGATATTTAACAGATAAATGGAAAAAAATACATAGAAGCAATTCTGGGTTTAGTGTTTTCAGGCCAACGTTAGAATTTCTGTCGGAGCACTGTGCTGCAAAACACTGCTTTCCAAGCTTTAAATCTGGGCTTTATTACTTCTGTCTCTGAATATGCAACTAACTCTGCTCTGCCTCCTTGTCAGCATGCCTGAACTCCAGTCAGACTAATTTAGGTTGGAACGATCCTTTGGAGGTTTCCTACTACAGACTCCTGCTCAAAGCACAGACAACTTAAAATTAGATCAGCTGCTCAGGCAGTGCTCTGCCCAACTGAGAGCAAATTTTATTAAAATCTTTCTCCTGCCATAGCTTCCAAATTTGTGCTCTAAGAAGGCATGGTAAATGGTTATTCTTATGCTTTAAGTCTACTCGTTTTACTCAATGATTCATTCTTCAGCCCTGAATATTTTCTGGCTAAAATTAGGGGAGCTCAAGGTTACACATTTTATATACAGACACACACTAATGGGATCCATGAAAATAAGTATGTTTAAAAGGATAATTACTGGCAACATCAAGTGACAAGTAGAAGTATCAGGACTATGTCTGCTTGTAAAAAATCTTAATTTGCCTTCACTGAATGCACATGTAATGGAATCTCTTTGGATCTTACACTGTTGCATCCTTCAGTGATCTTGCCTCGCTGAACAGCGTTCGCTTAGTGGTAAAACATTGCTTATTTTCTCTTCATCTTGTCTAGTGCAAAAAAGCTGTTACAAAGATAGTAACTCCCTCAGACGTACCCAAAGCCATTCCAGAATCACAAATATTATTGAACTTGTTACTGAAGTACCAAATTTAAGATCTGGTTTGAGTGCTTTTTATAAAACAGTATTCTGTTCAAAGAGCACAGCTCTATTTCTTAATGTTCACTCAGTAGAAGCCAAGCATAAATAAATGAAAATAAAAGGACATGTTTCTTGTGAAAGTGTACTTAAAGTGACCTGCCCAGCATGTAGAACAGAGTCAAAACAGAATTCAGGGAGCCTGCAACTGTTCCATTCATAAAATAATTCTCTGATCTTGCCAGGTATAATTCACAATAGCAATGTCCCAGTCGTGTCTCTAAAATGAGCAAACAAAAGAAACTCTCTAGGTTTACTTCCCTCATCTCTCAATTCACACCATTTACACTGGAAGAGACAACCTATAATAAAGAATATGTGATCACATGGAAGTACAGCGTGTGTTCTGAAGCCCATGTTACTCAGCTTTAAACAACTTCACAAATAGTCAAGAAATCACTTGCACGTAAGATTTTCTAAAGAAGTGAACAGAAGTGAATTCAGTTGTGATCCCACGATTTTCTGCAGTAGGACTCCTTGGGCCCAGTACACAAACTGCCAAGGACAGTAGGTCATCTTTTAAGACAACAAGTGCAAATACTGATCATTGTGGATCAGTGACACAGAATGACAACAGTTTGAAATTTGGGGTCCTCCTGCACTGAAGGAAAATATCTCCCTCAGGCTTGATCCCACCTGCTGAAGACCCCCAGCTTGTCCCTGACCACCTACACTCCAACCTGTTCCATACTGCAGTGCCTCCTAGGGCTCTTCTAAAAACATCAGATCTGACAATTTTTCCTTTATCTGGGCAGTGGTCTCTCCCATAAACACTTAACATTTTTAACTCAATATCTGTTGCCTTCACAACAGATTCTCTGAGTTCCCTCACTAATTTCTGTCATTCGCACTTTTTTTCCAATCTCAGTCTGAAGCTCCCCAATTACATTCTTGCCTAATTGCCTATTTTACTTTTTTTTTTTTCCCAGCACACTCAGACTGTAACCAACATGCTTCCTACACTGAGAGCTTTGGTAGAGATACCAGACATACTCAGCACACATGGAGAGGTTGCACACAGTCACCTCAGCTCCAGAAACTCACGTGCACACAATGAGACTTCCCACCTAAGAACGTTAAATAAATTAAAACAAAAAGCAGGATCTTGGAATGAGAAGTGCCAAGCCACCGTAAACATCCGAAGGGATACGATGTTGCTTCTTACTATTTCTATCAAAAATTGTGCACAACTTTACTATGTCCATGAACTTCCTTTAAGTTCTTCTTCATGTTCTGTTGTTCATTCCACAATCACACAGAAATTTTGCCCAGGAAGGAAACCTGTGTCTGACCTCTGTGTTGCCTGTACTGGAACCTAAGTGCCCTGCTTAGATGGCTTCAGAAGTTTGCATATGATCTGTAACTGGTAAGACATTGCTTCCTATATAAAAGCTCTAGTGCTTATTACATCTGACAGAGGCCTATAGCATTGCTGTGGAAATATACTGCAGCAGAAGAATTAATAAAATGATTTAATTTTGGAAACTTCTAGTTCTATAGAAAATTATTACTATTCCAATCAAATTGTTTCTAGTGATACAAGTACAGAAACATTCCTAATGGAATTAAATTTCATAACTACAGTCTTCCTCTCAGTTTGGAGAAAACATCTACAATAACTCCAATGATCTTAACAATTTATACTTAAAACACTTGATCCATTCCCACCTCTGGTTTCTCAGGCAAGGGCTCATTCTGTAGAACTTTCAGTGCTTTAGCAGCTGCATCATGTTTAGCAGCTTGTCTTGTTCTTCCTTTCCCATGAAACTGTTGCCCCCCAATTGAAAGCTCAACTTGATAAAGTAAAGGCCCAACAGGAAATGGGTAAAAGTACCTATAAAGAGATAAACATACATAAGTAAACAGTTTGGCCTACAAAGCAAACCTACAGAAACATAAAATGTATGTGGAAGAATCCCTTGGGTATCAGTAACCACTTCTCAGCACATAAGCACAAGTACTAAAAAGCCAAATTTTCAGTCTAAAAGATTTTAGGGAGATATATGTAAAGGAGACTATTGATATTTCTTATTTTACAATATTCTATAACAAACTAAAATAGCAAAGGACAATATAACTACGCTTTGACAAAGTTATTAGTCCTGCAAGCTTTGAATTCTTCATTTCAATGCTCAGAACATTCTTTAAACTGAATCTGCAACTTAAATAGTTAATTAAAAAAAAAAAAAAGAAAAAGCATCTAATTGTTTATACACAGAAAGGAAATGCAAGAAATACAAGGTATTCCCTTCATGAAGCCAAATATATCCAAGTGTCCTTCAAAACACTTCATCATCTAGTTCAGTTCCTTCACATTCCCCTTCCCCCAGGAGCCACACAGTTAAGACAAATTGCAGTTCCACATGGAGTGTATTGATCAAGACCTTTTTGCCTCAGACTTGCATTTTTCAGTAGTTCTCAGGTGACATCAGATGAAGAGAGCAGAAGTTAAAACAATAGCCTGCAAAACCCCAAAATCATACAATACATACCGTGGAGGGTAAGTACCACCTCTCATTGTATAGTTGTAAGTGGATCTCATCCCCGTGTAAGGATCAATAGGTTTATACATGGGTTTCTTTCCCAGCTTCATGCAAAGCGCATTCAACTCCACTGTGGGGGTTACACTGTCTAAATAAAAAGGAATAAAGAGTTGTCCAGCTGTCACCAGAGACTGCAGCAATACAAACTCTGCCCTGCCTCCAAACAGAGAAAAAGATGACTGGACTTTGCCATTTCATATTCAGAACTCAAAGAAATACATGTGTGATGCACATTAAATTACAAGCCTAGATCAACTGTGCCAATTCTCCTATACACTTTTTTCTTTGATTTGGTGAAGCTTTGTTAAGCTACAGATTGATTTCTACAGCACAGCTAATATGTTGTGCAGAGCAGCAATTTCTTTTTCTAAAATATCTTTTGACCTTTGAAATTAACAGACATGCTGCATATATCTTTGGCTTCTGTTGTTTACTGAGAACAACTGAGTATTTCTTCTTGTACTCAACAACTAACAAAGGTTTTTATGACTCTTCCCTTTCAAATTGCAATTTGCCTTTTGACAAGGAAGGTATATTGCTGCTGGTGGCTCTGAAATTTTTTCATGTGGATGAGTAATGGACTGACTATTCTCATCTGATAAAGAACAGTGACATAAATGTAAAGGAAAACTTTAAAGCAATTGCAAAAAAAAAAAATTACAGAACAGATTCATAGGAAAAAAAAGTAATTGATTATTTACAGGATAACAGGAAAAAAGTATTTTTCCTGTTTGCTCTACCAAGTGTTTCTAAAGAAAGAATGTAGGTGGTATCAGAATACAGCTGGTGTTAAAGATTAGACTTTTACCCTTTGCTGAATGGAATAATGGCATCCTTAGAGAGCTTTCAACTCAAGTGACATGCAAAGTTATCACACGTGCAGCTGAGATGAGAAGCTACTTCCCCTTCTAGACACATCCTCAAAGCAATCTTAGAAAATAAGAAGTTGATTTAACACAGCAACAAATTAAATGCTCTTCTACAACTCCACTTCTACTTCTCTTTAAGGAAATGCAAATGAAGCACCTTCCAAAGTTCTGAATCAACTGCTGGACACAAATTTCATAGTTCACTTAAACTTTTAAGGAAATCTTCATCATCAAGCTCCTGAACTATCCTGTAAAAAATGCCAAATTCACCCACCTATGAAAAATATTATTCTTTGCTGTGATTGAATTCTTGATAGCTTTGGGGGTTTTTTTGTTTTTTTTTTTTTTTTTTTTTTAAGATTATGATAAAAATTTTCAAAGATTCCACCAAGCAATACAACAGAAAGCAGCAAGTTAAGCAGTAGGTTCTTCAAAAGCCTGAGTGACACGACCAAAAAAAAAAAAAAAAAAAAAATCTGTATTTTTAACTTGTTAATTTTTGTTGAATTTTTATGCTGCCTGCCACGATCAAAGGTTAAATATCAAAATGACTTTCTCAAAAAGCCCAACTATTGCTATCATTAAACACACAGAACATAATGTCAGTATCACCCTTTTCTTTTTTTTTTTATCCTTATGCAACTTCACACACACGTTAAAACCAGGAAGCTAAATTCCACACTGGTTTTGTTTGGTGAGGTACATACCTGGATTCTTGCCTTCGCTACGAGATGGACGAGCTGTAGGCTTAGGGAACTTCGTCCCTTCCAAGGCTTTGGCAGCTGCTGCATGTTGCGCTTTTTTAATACTAGTTCCTTCAGCTTCCCAGTGCTGGTCCCCGAGAGTCAGCTGCACAGTGAACACCTGAGAAACAGAAAACATGTTATGAGTGGGTTCATTTACAACATTTATTAGACTGCCTTCCATGGAACTGTGAGTCTTCTACTGATGCAGAAGTCGAGAAGACAGCATGCAATGCTTTCCTTTACTAATGCCAACTCCACATTTTAAACTTCTGGGACATCTACAGGATATCCCTGATTACTTAACTATGAATTTCACAGAACTGCAGCTAGCACTATCCTGCATACTGCATGAGATGATACAGGCTGTAAAACAGAAGAGGCAATGCATACAGAGGTGACCACAACAGGGATAGATGGTATGTCAACACCCATCAGAACAGCTGCCTTGGAAATCACTTTATCCCCCAACAACTTGCTGTTTTAACACCTTGGTTTTTTTTTAAATAAACTGTATTTACCAGTAGTCTGAGGAACAGTAAGTTCACGTTGCACCAAAAAGCCTCCTGCATGTCCCCAAGGGATTACAAAGCTGTCTGATCATAGAGCAACACTGTGATACTTCTTTTTATATGAGATAAGGAAGGATACATATTGCCCTAAAGTTTCACAAATTATTCAGACAACAGAAAGCCAAAGTCTCTCTGGTAATTAAATGAAATTTAATTTCAGTCAGAATGAAAACAAGTGAACAGATGCTCTGAATGTTACTCCATTACTTTTTGCAAAGGCAAGCCCTGCCTGCTTTGCACATTGAAGCTGACATTATGCATGTTTGGGTTGAAAGACTTTAATTCTCAGCATTACCCACATCAAAGGCAATTCCTCCTGCGTACAGCACTAGCACTGTTCTAGACAACACCTTAAGGAGATGGTGTCAGATTAAATAGATGTAGCCCAGGCTGATTTTCCTTGTATGCCTTGACCTCAGCAGACCTTTCAATAGAGACCTCCAACGAGAATTAAAAAGCTTAATAATGTTAAAACTCACATCCTCACTGTTCTTTGAAGTAACACCAATTGCTTCTATACTTACTGCATTCCTTAGAAATTCTCTCTCTATGGGTAAACAGAACACCAAACAAACTGCATATCACTGGGCTTTTAACATACTGTACAAGATTGCAGTGACGTCGGATGAACGCCACGTGCTGGCTTGTCCTAAGCATTTTCAGATCCCCACCATTACAGACCAAAGATTCTTTTGCTAATCTAACTGTTTTGGACCAGATGAACGTTCGGCACTGTTTAACTGCATTGTACTTCAGGCATCAAAAAACACATACTAAGATCCTTGTTTTGCAAATACCTGACAATTAGGACAGTCAGGTTCATAAAGGCATGTGCTTTGCCTTTCCACTAAAAAAGTACAAGAGCATGAAGAAGAGAAACAAGAAACTTATATGAATAGGTACCTTTGAATGAGCTGGACCTTGCTCACTCAGAAGCTTATATTCAGGCTGAATCTTGTTGAAACGGGCTAACTCATTCACAAGACACATTGGGGTTTTCTCTTTGGGGTTTGCCATGTTAGAAGGAGCTGAGAGATTACATAAAAACAGATAAATGAGCAGGTAGCAAAAAAATCTACAAACATTTTAAATAAAAATCCTACATTTTCTTAGCATCAATACCCCCCAGAAATACGTTCACTGGATTAGATAGTTCTGGTCATTAGCCAAAACAGCAACAGCATGTTCCCTGAAGAACCTTGAGACCTCCAAGCAGTGTACGAAAATGTTAAGTACTTTTCAGTACTACAAACAGGCCTCTGTGCAAAAGAGTGCCTCTGTCTGTCTCAGACAGACTCCGTTCAGTGTGGAGAAAGCATTACAAGCTGCTGTGATTGGGTAAGTATTACTTCCACAACATTCAGAGGTCCAAGACATCAAAAATACATACATCTGCTAATAGATACTCAATCTCACCTGCAGCTGCATTGGTAGATGTAACAGATGCAGAAGGTAAAGCAGAATTTTGGATAGGTCTACCTGCATTTTCAGAGGGCAAAGAACTAGTAGTAGAAGGAATACTCAGTGGCTGTGAAAGAGATGGGTTCTTATTCAATATTTGGCTCCCTGCAAGGGCAGTAGAAGGATTCTGAATTTGAACTTGAGACATGTTCACTTCCAACCAGAGCAAGTTACTGTAGGCAAAGAGCTTTGAATGCAGGCAAATTCAGCAATGGAACCAAATTGCTGACCTAAAACATAAAGATGGAAGGAGAAAAGTTAATACTGAATGTTTAGCATTCTCTAAATAATGAGCTGCTGAAATTATTTCTCAATTAGCAAAAAGGGAAAAGGGGAAAAAAAGCATTAAATCAGGCAGTCATTGTTTCCATTTGGTATGCAGTAAGTCTCTCAGACATCAGTTTTAATAGCACATTTCAATCTCTAAACTCTAAAAGGAGTATAAAAGTCTTATTTATGTTTGCTTATTTAACTTCCTGACTGCTACAACACTGAGTCACCTTACAAAACAAATCCTGTTACTTAAACTGATAACCACTGCTTATACCGTAAGCATAGAGCAACTCGCATGAGCAGATTACACTTCTTACTATTTCAATTGTTATTTTTTATTTTTTAGCTTGGAAGGGCAGGCAACAAATGTATTCTTTATGGAGAAATTCTTCAGAACACGTCCTTTTTTTAAAAAAAAAAAAAAACATGTATTTTTGCTTTTTTTCCAGGATCATTGAGAACCTGATCATTCACAAGGGAACACTACTGATGTCCAGCAGAAAAATGCTGAAGTAGCTACTAGTGCAAAAAAGATGATGTAAGAGCTTATAAACATTGTAAGTGGCATACATTTTGAAGGATACTTCTACTCGTGTCATGAAGTGTCAGTCACAGTTCCAAGCTATCAGTTTAGAGTTACTCAGCCTTACAATCCTGTAAATAAGGGTTGAGTGTGTTCATAGGCAATGTTCATGTAAGAAAAAGACACCTCCAAGCAATGCACTTGCAGCAGGCATAGTGAAATACTGTGATAGGTCCTTCCTCCACTGACAAATTACTGTTAGATTTCTGTTACACATGGATGCAACATTATCTTCATGCTCAGACAGTTAAACCTAAATATACACTAGGAGGTTGCCAGTTTGAGGCTATCATTGCTGCCAGAGCTCAGCTGTCCATATCCACTTACTATCCACATATCAATTTGTTCAAAATAAATTTCACAGCCAAGTAAATACACTTTACACACAAATGCACACACATGGATGCACACACTCATCTGCCACAGACTTTATTAGGGCATCAAACAAAGGTTTTTGGTGTTTTTTTTTCCCCCTGACATAATTACAGATGAAGGGTACAAGTGAAATCACTGCTCCAGACACCACTGGGGAGCTATTAGTAGCAACACAACTCCACCAGTGCTCAGTAAGCCTCCAATTCTGAACCTGTGAATGGGCTTCCAGTGTAAGAGGAGCAGCAGTGAATCAGAGTGAAGCTTTTAGTTTGGTACTGGAAGACAATTTTGAGGCGAGAACTCAGGGTAATACAGTCATACAAAGATTTTATCTGGTAAGAAAAAAAGCTACAGAAAACAACACATACAAACCAATCTGCCATCTGGAACATTTTAGCTTTGAAGAGCTACCATACACACATCAGGCTTACCGCACTGCTGGCTGCATAGCTTTGTTTTTCACTAGACTGGGAAATTAATTCAAAGAACTTGTTAGTCCACAACATCTATACGTGCTCCCTATACTCGAAGTAAATGCTGTATTTGACTATCAAAGAGTGCACAAGGTGCATCTAACTGTGGAAGGGCACTGGGGAGTCCTATCTGAAGGAGCTCAGAGAAATTGAAAGACAAAGATCAAAAGTATGTAGACTAAGACTCTGGGGTAATCATTTTATAATAGCTTCATTCCCAGAAGCATTACCAGAAACCCTGAACATATTCAAATATAATACAACAACTGCCACAAACGAATAAGTGATCTTGTAGTCCTATAAGAAGTGAATGATCATTTACTGCTGAAGTGCACCATCCCTCCAATTAACCAAAGCTCAGAAATTTGTGATCCCCACATTTTGAGAACACCAAAGTTTTTGGTTTAGAAATCAGTAACACCAGGATCTTTTCAGATCATGCTGGAAAGGAAGCCTGAAACATTTTTCTCAGAGCTCTGCCTAGAAGTGCTTCATTTCCAAAGCAAGACATTATTCTTCACTTACTTGCAATCATATGTTTATTGGGAATGTGGAATTTCAACACCAAAAATATGTATACTGAAATAGTTTTCTAGTCAACTATCACACAATGCAGAGAAGAATCATATACTTTCAGTAGCAAAGCTCTGCTAAATAAGCATCTCATCAAATACATATCTGGCTAGAAATCTGCAAAAGTCTCTTGTAAGAAGTACAATCTAACAGTGGATATTTTAATTCTATAGCAATTCTGCATTTTCTTATGTAAAATTGGCACATAAAGACATTTCAGCTTCCACTGATGAGTTCTGTTGTATATTGTATTCGATTTTTCCATCATTTTTGTGGTGTACTGAAGTCCACCTCTTACATTTCTTTTTCTCAAAACTCACCTCGTAAGCTCATAAAGCAATTGTATAAACTGTGGATGGCCATTAAAAATGGTATAAAAGCATCACTCCTCATTCCAGAAACAGCTTAGCAGAGGATACTCTAAATCACTGTTCTACTGGATGTCTCAGGCTCCTGGAAGCAAAAACAACCTGCTACTACTGCAGGACACAAACTGAAATCTATCAGCATATCCACAGAACAGCACAGATATTCCACAACCACAGACATCTACTCACAGCAACTGTTTCAAGGATGTCAGTATGTGCTTTAGAGCAAAATCCAACATCATTCTATGTAAAGAGAGAACACTGCATTCAGTAGCTCAGCTGTAAAAACGTTACTAACTTCTACAACTTATTCTTCCCTTCATGCTGTTTCACTCTCAGGATATTAAGCAAACCTTAATGCTGGTCCCTCATATTTTTTATTCCAAGAAAGTAAGTCCCCAACAAGGATATTATTAGTTCACTTGCTGTATTTACTGCAGAATACTCAAGAACCTCACACCAGGACAGTCTGGACTATTTTCTATCCAGATCTCACTCTGTCAAGAGAGAAAGTCATCTGCATGCAGTCCAAAAAAGCTTCTTTCTGAACACCTCTAATTAGAATAACATTCAGGATAAACAATTCAGGCATTATTCACAAAATCTTTGGAGACTTAAGCTCACATCCTAGTGCTTAAAACAACAAAGTTTTGGAAACCAACCCAACTGAGAATAGGCTTCAGCTGTTCACATTCCACAACCAGACAAAAAAAAGTCACTGCAGACACATCCATCGCTCACAGCACGCTTGTTCTCAGCGTGGGAACCATTGCCCAGCTGCTCTGACAGCCCAGCTGCCCAGCCATGTTTAAACACGGCTTTGAAGCACACCTCCCAGAACTCACCACACAACCTCCTCCAGCCTGACAAGTCAAAAACAGGATGAGTTCTGCCCTCCTTCTGGGAATCCAAAGACTTCCAGAGGAGTCAGCTATCGCAAGTTTCAGCACAGCTTGCTTTAAGCATCTCTAACACTCCAGTAGACCCACCCACTCTTTGCAAAATACTCTGCAATTACACGTGTAACCAGGGTTTGATGACCAAAACTACTGTACAAATATTTGGCCTCTGGAACTATTAATATAACAAGAAAGAAAAAAAGGTGCTCAACAAGATCACGTGAGTGTTCCTTTCCATGACTCCTTCTAAAGGTGGAGGAAGTAGCAGCAGCAATATCTAACAGAACCGAAATTTTAAGGAATCAATAACTGAATCTTTACTTGGAGCAGACATCTTAAACCTGCAGAACACCCCACAGTTCAGGGTTTATCCCCACGACATTCAAGTAGCTGGAGAGCTGGGCATGCCGGGCGTTTTCCACAGCTGAACAGAAATTTATTACCAGGGAGACAGCTAAAATGCTACCACAATGAAACTCTTCCAATTGATGCATATTTTAACCTGTCAGCATTAAGTACACTTAATGCTTCTTCCTAGATCAACTGGTACATCGTCGTCACACTGTGATCCTCTGATTTCCCCTTCACTCACCAATCTCAAGCTTTTATATTCTAACCAAAAAATTCAATCAACTTCCAGCACGTTATCAGCCATTCACAACTATTTCAGAGTTGATTAGATTGAATTTAGGCAGCGTTTCATAAATTCACCTTTGCTGCTTGGCTGTTAACACATCTGGTGATTTGTAAAGCTTCACTTTACGGATTTCTCACAATTTCAGACCCTGTGCAGTAATTTACAGGATCACATGCTACAAGTTGGCATATACCAATATATAAGGCCAGGATGGATGTGGCTCTGGGCAGCCTGGTCTGGTGGCTGGCGACCCTGCACTATGTGCAGGGGGGTTGAAACTGGATGATCAGTGTGGTCCTTTTCAACCCAGGCCATTCTATGATCCTATATTGTTTGCTTTTAAAAAACATTTAGCTCCTTCCTACAAGCAATGTCAAAGCACACTCTGATAAATTAGGACTCTGTGTCTAATTTCTCAGTTACTCATGTAGCTTATGGAACTGATGTTGGTTTGTGTGAAATACTTCACTAGGATAAAAGAACTTACTGCACTTAATTGAATGTTCAATTACAGGTTTTTTGTGGATAACAAAAGAGTTTACAATGCTTTCCCAGCATAACACGCTCTCTACTCTGCAATGGCTCTACAAACCCCAACACATTCAAGAAAAAACAACTTATATAAGCCGGCTCACTGAATGGAGAAATGCAGATGCTGCTATCTCAGGTGATTTCTCCATGTAATCAGAAGTTAACAACTATTTCAAACGTTTCAAGACAACTATTACAACAAATCACCCAAGCCCTGCACAACACTTGTGACACTGCTAGGACTTACAAGCTGACTACGACTGACAGACAGATGAACACTCACATGTTGCACATACCATCACAGGCAGCAGTAAATCACATAACTTGCTCCTTTCCCACCTTTGTGTATTTATTTGTGCTAAATCAGACATCAGTATTTTAAATTTTATTGAGACAGTGCTGTCTCAATATTATCCTCATGATAATCCTCAAATTTTCATGGTTTTTTTTTCCTTTATCACAATTGCCAAAGTGTTGCACAGAGGGCCACAAAACAGACACCTCCTGGGGTTAATCAGACTTCACCACAACATGTGCTTTCTTCAATATAATGCAAGTAAAAGGTAAGAAACTTGAACGTTTTAAGTAAGTTTCCTGTACCTTTAGGAGATCCAGACAGTGGAGATTTGGATTTAGTTGTGAATAGGGTACTTATGATGGAGAATCCCTAGAAGGAAAAAGAGAGAGTTAACATTTTGCTTCAGAAAAGTATATCCTCTAAGAAACACGGATGGATTTGGGCTCATGTATGCTGAAGAAGAGGGGCTGACAAGCTGGAGCTGACAACAGCAGTCCACGAGCACAGCACAGTTCTTGGAGTGGAAAAGAATAATCTTTCTCCACACGTAAAGTGACAGAACAAGATGTGGCAGGCTTCAAAATGCATGGAATAGAGCTTTCTAATAGTAAGGACTGCAATGCACCACACCACTGTGGGTGATGGAGACGACCTGTTGGCAAAATTTAAGTAATTGATAATCACACAGTTGGAATGAGGCCTCAGAGCTGCAGCTGCAGACAAATGCAACACCTTGCTGTTGCCCTGTGTCCCAGGGACCACACAGCCCAGCTCTACCAAAACCAGTCCTTCCCATCACTGAAGGGCAGCACCTGGAGCTCAAAGATCAGGTTTGGAAAAAGGGGATCTCGCAGACATCTAGCACAGATGTCCTCCAAGCACTGAGTGGCCCGCTGAAAACACAACAGAGACCAAGTTCTCAAAGAAATACATTTTATTCATTGTCAGTAGCAGAATATGGGAAGGTGCTCTGTTCTCTAGGACATGCACATCTAGAGAGCCACATAACCACATGCCATTTAGCTGCCTATCACAGCTTGCAGGCATGTCTCATTAAACCCTTTTGTGCACCCATTCATGAACTGCCAGCAGCAGAAAAGGGCTTTTTAGATACAAGAGCAGAGGAGAATGAGAAACAGACACCAGACAAAGCCAACAGGATACAAACTACAGGTTGAGATGAGCAGCTAAAGATTGTGTCATAGACAATATTCTAGGAGTTTTACTACAGAAAACAAGAATCTAAACTAAAAAATTCTTTCTGAAACAGGATTCTTCACAACACAAGGCACCTCAACAGCTGCTGCCCCTTCAGTTGCATAGCAAAGGTGACTAATTTTCCCCATTAGTGACAAATTGTTCACAAAGCAGGACGGTTGCCTGCATTGCAACATTTGCATGCATTCGACAGGGACCAAAAAAAGCCCAAGCCCAACCTCTACCAAAGGATGCAAGTACCCAAGGTGGGACCAAACAGAACCAGAACAACCCGTGGGACACACAGCACTCACTGACTGTCCTCTCTGTCACTGCTCTCTCACTGGGGCAGCCAGCCCAGCGCACACCTACAGTCACCTACAGCATGCAGGCAGGGCAGAGCAGCCGCCGGTGCAGCCACGCTCCCTCCTGTTGCTGCTGAGGAAGAGAGCTGTGCACCCATCGCAGCCGGGCAAAACACCCTTCAGAAAAGCTCCATCCTTTTCTAAAGGAACTCTAAATAACTCGGATGTGGTGGCAGAGCCTCCTTCTTTTATTGCATATTCATTTGGGAGCACCAAAAACACGTCTCCACAAATTCCATCAGGTTTACTGAGACGGTTCATTTCCTAACACAGATTTGAAAAATGCACATCAGTAGCTCTGTGTATATATAGCACAAAATCCTAAAGCACTTGGCTTCTGCAACAGCACTAACAACAATACCTGACTATTCACAACTGAACTGTAAATAAATACACTCCACCAATAAAGATAAACAACACTTCAAACTTTATAGACCTGAGGCTATTTACACAGCATGTAAAGCACAGCTGAGCAGTGCCTTCTTCTTCAACAAATCTTCTTCTATAGCATCTGGGCAGGACAAGATGCATCTCAAAACCAGCTCTCAGCAAAGGAAAAGGTGCTGTTATTTCTAAAAACAGGTAAGAGAAATCTCCAAGGAGAGAAAACTGTGTTAGACAGAACACCTCGGAAGCAATGGCACGGGTCATTAATTAGAGAAAGTTGATGAAAGACTAACATTTGAAAGTAAAATCTGAAGGAATAGAGGGAGCTAACAGATGTGCACATAAACCTTACAGCTCCAAATACAATGCAAGAGAATAAACCAGAAAGTGACGAGGCGATCACCAACGAAGATGAACGCTCACTCGGATGGCTGCTTCCAGCTGCGTGCTGCTGTCAAGAGGTGCTGCACAGAACTTGGT